AGATGTTCAGTTTCAGTTTGTGTCAGTTTAGGTAGGTTGTGTTTTTCTAAGTATTTGTCCATTTCCTCTAGATTTTCATATTTGTTTGAGTATAGTTTAAAAAAAAATCCACCATCTGCCCTGGCAGGAGAAAGATGAGCAGTTTCCTCCCTTGGGATGTATTTTCTTTCTGCAAACATACTGGAGTGCCAGGTCTGGGTTGGTTCCAACTCTATGGCAATGAGGGTTTTTTGTTTGTTATTAAAGTAATAAAACAGAGACCTAGCTAGAGAAAGATAGATTGTGCAAAAGACCAAGTGAAAATGAAAGAAAAGGTAAAAGGACGAAAAGACCTCCAGATTGATAGAGGTGATGCCAAATCTTTCAGCATGACATCAGCAGAAAAGGAGAGAAAAGTGGGCAATGAGATTTCCTTTTTCTGCTTCTCTTTTTTTTTCTTCAGTAGCTTTAGGTTTTAGTTTGTTTTGTTTTTTTCTAGATTCTCAAGGTATAAATTTAGGCTATTGGTTTGAAATCTTTCTTCTTTTAAATACAGATGTTTACAGATGCAAATTTCTATCTGTGCAAGTCTTCAGTGCCTCTAATAATTTTTTTGTGCTACGTTCTTATTAATTTCTAGGAATTTTCTGATTTTCCTTGAGAGTCCTTCTTTGTTTGACTCCTTTGTTGTTAATAGTGTATTATTTAATGTTTACATACTTATGAATTTCTTACCTTTCTTTCTATTATGAGGAAAATTATTATGGTTCGTGAAGATACTTTGTATCTTGAAGTTTCCAAAGTGTTTATTTGCCCTTTACTTTTATCATTGATTTAATTTATGCATTTTGGATCTCATTTATAGGTACAAGCATATTTATGATTATTGCATATTCTTGATTAATTGACTTTTTTGGCATTGCCTAATGTTCTTTGTCTCTTGTAAACAACTTTGACTTGAAATCTTTTTGTCTGATGTTATAAAGCTATCTCAGCTCTCATTAGTTATTTGTAGGAAATACATTTTCCCTTCCAATCTTTAACTTTCAACACATTTCTTTCTTTGGAAAAGTAGATTTTTTGTAGAGAGAGTGTAAGGTTTTGTTAGGTACCATTGGGTTAACTACAACTCACAGCAACCCTATGAAAAACAGATTTTAATCTTATACAGATTTCTAATCTTATACTATCCTGTACTATCCTCACAGTCTCCTCCATACTCCAATTCATTGGCACATGTGCTGTGTCAATCCACCTCTTTGAGGGCCTCTTTCACTAACCTTTGTTTTTCTCAGTCTTTTTTCAAGGTCTAGTACTTCTTGGCAGCATGCTCAAAGTGTATGAAGAAAATTCACCATCCTTGCCACTAAGGTGCACTCTGTTTGCAATTCTTCTAAGACAGATTTGTTTTGTTTTTTGGCAGTCCATAGTATCTTCAACAGTCTTCATCAGCACTACAATTCACAAGTGTCAGTTCTTATTTACTCTTCCTTATTGTCCAACTCATATTCATAGGGCATAGTTGAGAATGCCATAGCTTGGCTCAGGTATACCTTGCTTTATAGTACTTTAAAGAGATCCTTGACAATAGATTTTCCCAGTTCAATAAATAATTGGATTTCTTGACTGCTGCCACCAGTTGCTCTGTGGTAGACAGATATGGCGACCAGCTTCCCTGATGAATTACAGCTCTAGAAAATGCTGTGAGGCAGATCTACAACATGCTGTGGACTCTATGAGCCGACTTCAGCTCCAGAAAAATAAGCTTTTTGGTTTGAATGTAGTAGAGGTGTTGAATCCTCAGGCTCATCTTTCCTTCCCAGCTGTTATAACTTGTGCTCAACAAAGAACTGAAAGTCCAACGGGAACTTTTGCAAATGGCTAGAAAAGTCTTTTTTTTTTTTTAAATCAGAGGGCATAATGTCCAACCACAAATGAATGGATTGAGAAATTATGGTACATTCCCACAATGGAATACTATGCAGCACGCAGGAACAGTAACTTGGGAGGGACTGGAGAAATTTATGCTGCATGTAACTCAGTCCCACAAGGATAAATATTGTATAAAACTGTTATTGTAGAATGAGTATTAGGATCCAGAAGGAGTGGGAATGGGAGAGGCTGGAAGCAGAGGGATGTGGATGTGGATGTGCAGGAAAGGGGAGGATTAATCATTGGGTTGTACAATTTGATGGGTGGGGGGTGAGATAAATTTAAAGAATTTGTTCAAATTTGTATTTAAATTTTTTAAATAAACTATTAAAGAGAGAGAAGAAAAAAAAAACCCCAACAAATTGCATTAGGTAAATCTGCGGTCAAGGAATTCTCCAGAGTACTGAGAAGCTGTCATAAAGAATTATGAAGAAATGTGCAAGGAGTTCTCAGAGTACTGAGAATGATGTCATAAGGTATGCCTAATTCAGGCGTCTTTGCAGTTACTTTCTATGCATCAGAAAGCTGGATAATGACTAAGATGACAGAAGAAGAATTGATGCTTTTGAGTTGTGGTTCTAGAGGAGTCTTGAACTTACCATGGATCACCAAGAAAACAAATGGGTCTGTCTTAGAAAGGGTGAAACCAAGTTTCTCCTTGGAAGCTAGGATTTTGATGCTCTGTCTCACATGCTTTGTGCACGTGTTCAGGAGGGACCAGTCTTTGGAGAAAGACATCATGTTTGGAAGAGTGGAGGTACAGGGCAGGAGAGGAAGACCCCAGGTGAGATGGATTGATACAGTAACTAGGGCAATGGGGGTAGTAGGTATGTTGAAGTCAATGAGGCCGGCTCAGGACAGGGCAGGCTTCAGAGCTGTTGTACATAGTGTCACTATGAGTTGCAGGCAATTTGATGGCACATAACAACAACAACAACAACTGTGCTAACAGCTGGAAAATGGATAAGGATGGATAGCAATAAGGAAATGGACAGAAGAAGAACTGATGCTTTTGAGCTGTAGTGTTGGAGAAGAGTACATGGATTGCCAAAAGAACAAATGGCTATTTTTTGGAGAAGGTGCAACCAGAGTGCACCACAGGCAAGGATGGAGAAGCTTCATCTCACATACTTTGAGCATGTTGCTAGGCGGGGCTATTCCTTGGAGAAGGACATCATGCTTGGAAAGGTGGAGGGATGGGCAAGGAGAGGAATACCCTCAACCAGGTATATCGACACCATAACTATAACAGTGGACTCATATGTGTCAGTAATTGATGATGGCACAGGATTGGATGGATTCAGATCATAGAATTGTTATGAGTTGTACTTGACTCAGCAGCACCTAACAACAACAATAAAAAAAAGACAGTTAAGAAACTCAGTTACAGATTAGGTTAAGGAACCTAGGTTAAGATTACAGATCTGGAACGTTGGTAACAGATTAGGTTAAAATATTCCAGACACAATATGATATATTGAATTTTCTGTACTTAGTAAATAAAATAGATTAAATAAGTCAATAATAGAGATTATATCTCATCCTTAAGAAAACTAAAATATAAAAAAAAACCACACAAACCAAACAACAAGAAAAGAAAGAAAACGAAAATACTCACCACAGGGCCAATAGGCAACTTCATGATAGAGAACAGATTGAAATAAAAAATTTCATCTTGCTTAAATCCACACTCAACATTCATGAGTGGCACTAGCACTCAAAAATTCAAAAGACGTATCACATGAGGTAAATCTGCCGTCAAAGACCTCTCAGAGGGGTTAAGGAGCAATGATTTCAGTTTAAAGACCAAGGTGCATTTGATTGAAGCCATGGTCTTTTCAGTTACTTGCTATGCCTCTGAAAGTTAGATAATGACTAAAGATTTCAGAAGAAGAAATGATGTCTTTGAGTTTTGATATTGAAGAGTATTGAATATCCCATGGACTGCCAAAAGAGCAAACAGATTTGTCTAGGATAAAGTACAAGCTGGTGCTCTTTGGGGGTAAGGTTGGTGAAACTTTGTCTCATTTATTGTGGGAGTGTTATTAGGATGTCCTTGGAAAAAGACATCATGGAGGGTCAATGAAAGATAAACACCCTCAGGGAGGTGGATTGATACAGTAACAATGTCATAACACATCTGTCAACATGTCAGAGATAATGAAGATGACACAGAATATGGCAAGGTTCATATCTGTTTTACATAGCATTGTGATCAATTGTAGTCTACTTGATGGCATGTGATAGAAACAGCATATATACAAACTGAATGTGAATTAGATGTACCCAACACTGTCTGTGAGAGGATACCTTATGGAGACCCTCAATTACATACAAGGGCTTAATTTGTAGAGATTTAAATAAGGAGACTACTGTTCCTTTATCTCTATGAGAGGAGTTTTCTCACCTGTTCCCTAAACACCTGCTTCACCTGTTTGTTCCTCTTAATGCAGATGAAGGGGTTGGGCATTGGAGTCACCACAGTTTTGAGCAGGGCCATCCTTTGCTTCTGATCTCTGGAGAAGAGAACTTTCTTGGGAGATAGTCTTATCTCCTGTCAGGATATTG